TGCAACCTGAGGTAGCAGGTAAAATTCGTCATCAGGTCACGGGAGAGCTGAATCATGTTCTTGTGTTCCCAATGGCTTCCAGATTATCCTCGGGACCAAGAGAACACGGGGGCGGGTGGAGAGGATGAAGGGCAAGGTCTCTGGAAGTGGGAGAGATAAGAGATGCTGGCAGAGCGGGGACAGTAATTATGAAGTAACTCTCAAAAGACAAACCACTGAGCCTATGGAAGGAAGGAAGGGAAAGGGAATGATGGTGAGAAGGAGGCCCCAATTCTGCCCATGGCTGTGTTCACTGATATCTTTACGTCTATCTCATATCTCTAAAAGTCTATCTCACCTATGAACCCATGGGAGTTGTCTATGTCTGACTCTCTGCTCATCTCTGTGGACAAAACAAGGAATATATAACCACTACCCTCAAGAAGTGGAGAAGGGGGAGGGCGGAGTGCTTCAGGCAGCAGCCAACATGAGCAGGAAGTGCTCCAGAGCAGAGAAGGGTATGATGGATTGAAGAAAGTGTGTAGGGGACCCCTGCTTGGAGCACAGGGTGGCTGAGAGTCACAAGAAAATGTTCACAAGTAGCATCGACCAGCTTGAAAAGACCCTGACTCCCAGGCTTAGAAAGTGTATCTTTATTTTGAAGTCAATTTGTGGGTGAGAAAGAGAGCACCGAGTACTTTTTGAAAAGGGACAATAATATGAAAGTCTTGTCTCTGTGTTTCCTGAATCATCGTTCTCATCCTATTTGTTACCAGCTAGGAGCCAGTGACCCGAATTTCAGACTAAACTAGTCAGATGGCCAAGCCTGAGAGGAACCCATGGCGACACCGTTCTCTCCTGGCAACCAAGTTCACAGTGTTGTGCCTTCGAATGTCCACCCTGAAACATAATGAATCTCTGTGTAGGGAGCATGGCATTGCCAAGGGGAAGACGATCTACCTACATGTGTCACCACTTAGTCAGCTTCATGGCACTCATCCCGCTGAGTAGGAAGTTGTCTCCTAACTTTGTCTCTTGAAGATTCTTTCTATATTAAAGGACAAACTACTTGGAAGAGCTTTGCTCCTCTCCCCTGCTTGAAATACATGCCTTTGAAAGTTAGTCATAGGCCAGAATAAGTTATAAACCACAGCAAAGCTTTGTAAATGTTAACATTTATTTTAAGTTTAAATCTTTATTTTTCAGATTATTACAGTGTTCCTCTTTTTTTCCCCCATAGCTCCCTTCCACCCAGTTGCCACCCCACCCTTTGCCCTTACCCCACCCCCACTGTCCTCATCCATAGGTGTACGATTTTTGCCCAGTCTCTTCCTGCACCCCCCACACCCCTTTCCTACCCAAGAATTGTCAGTCCACTCTCTTTCTATGCCCCTGATTCTATTATATTCACCAGTTTATTCTGTTCATCAGATTTTTTATTCACTTGATTTTTAGGTTCACTTATTGATAGGTATATATTTG